ATGGAATGTTTCCATATTGGTAGTTGAAGAATATATGACAAAGTTAGAAACTTTTATGCAAGAAGGATGTTCAAAGGAATGTATTTTGAATTTGAGACTTCATTTCCATAAAATTGTCCTGTAACAATCTCCAAATGAATATTTTGTAATATCTTTGGTCAAGTCTCTGTGACTTTTGGTACCTAGACATTACAAAAGAATCATTGCATGATAGTTTAGAATCTAACACTTTCTAGCAGTGACAAGAATTTGGAACTCTTACACTTGCAATAAGGGTTTGGAATTGTGAAGTGAGCATCATTGAAATATTTTTTTAATTGATCTATTTCACAATGTAAGGACCATAGGCAAACTTAGTATGCATGCTTGAAGCATGGCATAACTATTTTTTAGATAAACATAATGTGCATGCTTGGAGCATGACATAACTATTGTTTTAATTCAAGTATTAAGTTGATTAATCGAAACATTATACAATGAATAATGTGCAATCAATATGGTGATTAAATAAAAGGTGTTTTATTTATATTCATAAGTTCTGAGACCATATTGGATTCGATTATTATTGTGTTTCACTTTGCATGTTTTGACTTCCGAAATAACTAGGTTATTCAAACCATCCACAGTCAATCATTATTTGGATGTAGGTATTGAGGTAAGTCTATCATGAATGGGTCTGTAGTTTGTCTAGGACAAAGTGGCTGCAGTGTTCATGAGTACTCCTGGAATAAGATTCGTGTATTGGATTCAACCCACGCTCATTTAAATCACTTCATGGATTTTATCATGAGTGATAATGAGACGATAATATATTATATTCTTCAAATAGAGACATGTGAGTTTTAGTTGCGAGTCGGTTGCACATTGACATATGTAAACACACCAGTAATTTGGATGTTATAACACATATCGTTGTGTGTAATTTGATGAGTAAGTACAAACGAGCATTTGGGTCAAAGTTTATCCGTTCCTTTTACCCCATGTAGATAAAAGCGATATTTGTGGGCCCCTCGATGATTTAGTGACGACACCAGACCTGGAATGATTTGATTTGTTCAATTAGGTGATCAAAGTTTTGTTGTAGTATAATGGTAAGTATTCCCGCTTGTCACGCGGGTGACGTGGGTTCGATCCCCGGTAATGGCGCCAAAACTTAGTGGGATGTCAAGTCCACCAAGCAAATTACACCCTTTGTTTGCAAATAAAACGTAATATAATGGTAAAAATGGGTATCGATCCATGGGGAAATGGTTGTATTAAATCACCAATGCATGCTAATAGAACTAGTGTAACTAAACTAACTAACTACAATTAAACTAAGGGGGGGGGGGGGGTTGTTGTGATTGCTTGAAAACTAAAAGACTTGAATAACTAAAAACTTTGTAATTAAGCAAGATGATGAGATGCTAAAAAATTGATGAGAATTGGTTAACCAAGACAATTCAACATAATGAATATTTGTGTGTTTATCATTAGAATTTAACATGAAGCTTATCATTCATCCCAAATTGGTTATAGCAATCATGAAGCATGATATGCCAAGATTCCTCATAAGTAGTATAGAGGCTGGGAAAGCCCACAACACACCTTCTTAATCAAAATCAAATATCTAATTGAAGCAATTGAACCCAAGAAGATGATTAGCCTTAAGAATGAAGGAATCCCCAATTCCTAGAGGATGTCAATGCTAGGTATAAAGGAGCTATGATTCGTAAGATAGAGATGATTTCTACCATCATAAAGCTCTTGTTCTAAGTAAATTCAATGATTCAATGTAAAACCAAAGAAATAAACCAACAATTGCACATTCAAGTACCAAGCTCATGATTAAAGTATCAAACAAGCATAAGAAATATGAACTAGAGTCATAAACATAAGATAAGTGATAAATAAACAAGAATCCTTCAAAAACCCACAAACATTTAAAGGTTTTAGCCAAAGTTAACCAAAATAAAGAGTTTAGCCACTCATGTTAATAGAATAACAATCACAAAAGTCTAATTGCATACAGAAACTACCAATAACTTGGAAAGATGAAAAGAAATGAGTCTCAAGCTCTAAAATCACCTTCTTCTGGTCTCCAATGGTGTAAAATCGAAGTTATGGTTAATAGATCTGATCCCCCAAGGTAATGGCAAGCCAAATGACCAAAATGCCCAAAACTGGGCAGTTGCACGAGTACCCGCACGACGGAAATTCCACCCGCGCAAGTGTTGCTGGAATGCAATTAGCTCATTTTTCCTCCACTAACCATCCAACTACCAAAGATTCCCTTTGTTCCCTCCATATCCCACATGATTCAAATTAACCAATCATCTTTTAGCTTCAAATATGGATGTTCCAAGCCCAAATTAACAATCCATGATCCATTTTCACAAGCCCACTTCATCCAAATCTTTAGCCTTTTTAAGCCTAAATCTCCTTTAATGGATCCGCAAAGCCCAATAATGCCTCGGAAGCCCACAAAGCCCATTTCCAAGCTAAACCATAACCGCAACAAGCTCCAAACCCTGCAAAATACCTCATGCAACAAAAAAAGTCCCCGATATGATCCATAATAAAGAAAATAAATAAAATACAATGCAATCATAATAAAAAGAGCTAAAATACTAAAAGAAACTAATAAAAATAAGGAAATAAAATAACCTATCATATGAGCCCATCCCACACCCTCGAAATGAAACCACCTCGATATCTCTCTCGTGCAAAAGCTCTCTCTTTCTTAATGCGTTTAGTAGCATTGTTCATGACTTTGTTTGTTTCCTTTGGACCACTTGGAACAACACACATCAGCAATGCTACATTCTCCCTTAGATAGCCCTTCATCTTCCTTAGTTTCTCCTTCTTTCTATCTCTCCTCTCCCATCTCGTTTCTCTCTTTATGCTTTCCATACATTAATCCCACTAGAAAGGTGTACATAGGGTTTTTATGGTGTAGGATGGGCGCATACGAGCCGTCCAGAAACATATTAATGAATAACAAGGGGTATGACAGTTTCTTTGATCATCTTGAAGGTTATAACAATTTTAAAGTTAAGTTTATTTTGAAAAAAACATTTTGGGTCAAAACTGAAAAAAAAAAAAAAAATACAAAATATAGGAACTTTTATGAAACAAAAATATTCAATTTACCTATTAGTGATCTGCTAGGGTCTAAAATGACAAGTAACATATAAAAGTTAGGTATTTTTCAAAAAAAAAGGTCTAATCAAAATATAAGGTCTTTTATGAATTTTTTAATTAAGTCTCTCTCTCTCTCTCTCTCTATATATATATATATATATATATATATATATATATATATATATATATATATATATATATATATTAATTTTGACTTCCAGGAAGTGATGTCATCAAAAATTGTCATGTCATTATGCTATGGCAGCACCATGTCATCAAAGACCGACACATCACCATGCCACTTTAGCTGAAACTCGGTTGACCGATCAAATGGTCAACATTGAAATAAATTGAATAATATCATGTCAAAATCAAAATTTTATGAAAACGTAGTGTCTTTATTATGAGAAAAAATAACATTGTCTTAAAAGCGAATTTTCATGAAGACTTAGTATCTTTTGTGGAATTCGCATGAAAGATAGTAATTTTTTAAACAAAAGGGCTTCGTAAGCAGAGAAACCGGTAGCCCAACATCCTTTAACCAAGGTTGTAAAAATCGTTCGATGGTAACTTAATGGTCGATTTGGGTCAAGAGATTAATCGGTTTGGCAAAAATTAACCGGAGACCCTAAATTACTAATAAAGTTATTTTAAAACTTAATATATCTTAAGAAAATTAGTATTTGAAAATTTAAAATTTTTAACATTTTAAATTATGAAATATTTTGTATAATGTTTGAAAATTTGAATATTTAAAAATTTAAAATTTTGAAATTGTGTAAAATTTGGTGTAATATTTGAAAATTTTAAATTTTAAATTTTTTTCTGTCTACGAGCCCCAAGGACCGCCTAGTATTGATGAGCCTGAGTTTGACCGATTGATCAATTTCTGTCAAACACATTTATTCGTAATTGGTTGCAGACCACCAAATGATTAATTCCGATTAATTGGCTGCCAAGATCGATTTCTGCAACATTGTGTTTAACAAAATCTTCAAACTCTAAATGATGAAGCCACGAATTGTAAAATTCAAAAGGCGTAGGACTGAAATCTTGAGTAGCCTTCTTGCTAGAGTTCACGTTAATGGTATTGATTTTTCGTTGTAAAAAAAGATAATGTAAATTAATAAAGAAATCAAATTATGAGCAATATAGTAATTTTAGATCAAATACAAGATAACATATAAAAACAAAATGAAACTGACTTTAATTACCATAACTGCAATAAACTGAAAGCATTAGAACAAGTCATGTAACATAATGCATAACTTAAAATAAATTAAATTACCATTTAAGAAAAAAAAACATGGACCATTTATGTAATTTACTCATTTATTTATTGAAAGTCGACATAGAAAGCGATTAAACAACAACGTAGATTGACCAAGTGGTACTATGGCACTGACAATCGATCATATACCTAATTAGGACGAGCAAAACAAAAAACAAATAATTGGAAAGGAAACTTTAGAAAGAAAAGAAAACTCCAAAGACAGATTAAGTAACCATGGTTGAGTTAACAAACCCAATCAAGAGCCTATCACTATATATACAAAGCACGACCCATGCAATCCTTATCAGTTCTCACCACACATCTAAGTTAAGGTTTAATTGCACAAGTCTCAACAAAAAAAAAAAAAAAAAAAAAAATGAAAATCTTTGTTTGGGCAAACTTCTTTCTTCTAATTCCTTGCTTTGTAGTAGCCGTTTACAATCTTTATCTCTCACTTCTCTTTTTTCTTTCTCTTGTATCTCTCTACCCCTTCTTTGCTAACGTATGGTTAGTCCCTGGTGGGTTTGCATGGAGAAACCCTAATTTAAACCCAAGTAAGATCCCTGGTCCAGTTGGCTGGCCATTCCTAGGGATCTTACCTGAAATGGGTTCTCATGCCCATCGTAAACTGGCCTCTATGGCAAGCTCAATGGGTGCAACTCGTCTTATGGCGTTTAGCCTTGGTTCAGTTCGTGTGGTAATTACTAGTCACCCTGAGACTGCGAAGGAGCTCTTGTGCGGCAGCGCCTTTTCAGATCGTCCTGTAAAGGAATCAGCTAGTTTGTTGATGTTTGAGCGAGCCATTGGGTTCGCACCATCTGGGAAGTATTGGAGACATCTAAGGAAGATTGTAGCACAGCACATGTTCTCTCCTAAAAGGGTTTTAAGCCTCCAGTGTCTTCGACAAAGTGTGTGCGACGAAATGATGGATAAAGTGTTCGACGAGATGAATAAGAAAAAGAGTGTGGAGTTAAGAGGGATATTCCAAAAAGGTTCTCTGAAAAATGTTATGGAGAGCGTGTTCGGGAGTGGATTAGGGTTTGACAAAGAAGAAGAATTAGGGTTTATGGTGAAAGAAGGGTATGAGTTGATAGGTGAATTTCAGTGGGGCGATTATTTTCCAATTAAGGTTTTGGATTTCACTGGGGTCAAGAGGAGGTGTCATAAGCTGACTTTGAAAGTCAAAAGTCTTGTAGGTCAAATTGTTGAGGAAAGAAAAAGAGACGATGGAGGTATTAACAATGGGAAGAATGACTTTCTTAGTGTATTACTGTGTCTGCCTAAACAGGATCAACTCACCGATGCTGATATGGTGGCTGTTCTGTGGGTAAGTCTCTCTCTCTCTCTCTCTCTCTCTCTCTCTCTCTCTCTCTCTCTCTCTCTCTCTCTCTCTCTCTCTCTCTCTCTCTCTCTCTCTCTCATGTGCATAACATGAAACAACTACCCGTAACTATTTTTTTGTGAACATGCAAAGATCACACATGACTTGGTAAATCACTAGCTAGCCAGCCATACACATTAGGTTAAAAGATAACCCATTTTATGGAAATTCAAGATCTAAACAGCTTACTCATATAGTACATGTGTATGCTTAATTTTGATTTTATACGACATCATTTTATTTAAGATTTTCATAACGAAACCGAATATATATACCAGATGAAATAGCTATAGATAAACAATGAATTTTAACATCCTTTAAAAGGAAAAATGAGGGTGTATTTAATGTTGAAGATATTTTTAGATGGGTGCTGTCCCTAAATAAATTAAGAGTTTAATACATATCTTTCAGATATTTTCGCATAACTTTTGCCAACAGAATGTAAAAGCCATCAACCATTTATTAATTAAGTAATTGTTTAGCTAGATACAGTAAAAAGGTAAAATAACTCAAAACTTATGCTTATTTTGGTCAAAAAGTAAGGTTGGTAGAGTTGAAAATACTCTGAATCAATCATCATGACGCATCTATCGACAAATTAATTGGTACTAGGTTTCATAGGCATATATATATATATATATATATATATATATATATATATATATATATATATATATATATATATGTATATTAATGAAGACAAGTAAATTTAATGAAGACATACATTATACAAGAAAGACCACATTAATTAACACATGTTATTATGCTGCAAAACAAGTATTAGGCATGTAAATTAAAGTGATTATTGTGTGTATGCATTGTCGTTACAAAAATTTCATAATAAACTTTTATTGGTACGTAATTATATAATAGGAAATGATCTTTCGAGGAGTTGATACAGTTGCTATCCTTCTGGAATGGATCATGGCAAGAATGGTTATGCACCAAGACATTCAAGCAAAGGCTCAAGAAGAGATTGAGGAGCACGTAGGCAACCACAGACCCGTTGAAGACTCTGATATCCCGAATCTTGTTTATGTTCAAGCCATAGTGAAAGAGGTCCTTCGGTTGCACCCTCCGGGACCTTTACTTTCTTGGGCTCGCCTTGCGACTCATGATGTCCAGTTAGGTAAGTTCTTTGTGCCAGCAGGGACTACTGCAATGGTTAACATGTGGGCAATCACACATGATCCTTCCATATGGAAAAACCCATGGGATTTCAATCCCGAAAGGTTCATGGAAGAGGACTTTCCGATCATGGGTTCGGACCTTAGGCTTGCACCATTTGGTTCAGGTCGTAGGGTTTGCCCTGGAAAGTCGCTTGGGCTTGCCACAGTTCATTTGTGGCTTGCACGACTTCTCCAACAATACAAGTGGCTTCCAATTCCATCCACAAAAGTTGACCTCTCAGAGTGTCTTAAGCTCTCTCTTGAGCTACAGACACCACTGACCTGTCGTGCACTTGTACGATAGAACTCTTTTTTTATGTGCACCTTCGATGATGATTTTACATGTTAATTGTACTATTATAAGGAAAAAAGTTCCTTTAAATAGTAATTAAATAAGTTACATGCTACGTGCCTTGGTACTAGCCGTCACATAGCTAGGTCCACTTCGCGCTTTGGCATCTCTATCCTTGAACCTGTATCTGTACATGTCCTTCAATAACTAGAAGTTCGTTCCAAGTTAGACGATTAATCAGTGTATCAGTTATATGGTTTATCGTTACAATGTATCCACCTACACTTCGAATGTCTTTTGTGTGTTGTCCAAAGAAATGATATTTAAAATTATTTCAGAAAATGATAATGTGTTTGAGGATTTAGAAGGAAAAAAGTAAATGAGATTATTTATTTATTTGTTATTATTTTTTTTTATAAAAAGTAAGAACTAGCTAAGGAGGGCGTGTCTTTCCTCTATACGTTCTTTCTATATTGATTGCAAGTACGTACTTTTATGATTTATATTAGATCTTTGTCCTTACTAATTGATTCTATTAAATAAAAAACAAACATTTTTCTCATTTGTAATTCATTAGTTTTTAAATATATTTATAGATTGGGCTCTGAATTGCTTATCATTTAACCTATAATTAAGACATTTTTTCGTTTATGGATTTCGAAGGGTTTTTTTTTTTTTTTTTTTTTTTTTTTAATGTAACTTCTAATAAGAAACAAGTTTGCTGAAAAAGTAGAAAGAATTTGAATTCTTCAAATTCTATTAAATTCCTTCTTTAAAGAAAATTTTCATTTTCCATTGGTAAATTACAAAGATTTTAGAATTAATTTCTTATATTTTATTGTAAAGATAAAAATGTCATATCACATTTCTTTTATTTTAGCCAAAAATCAACAAATTAAAACATATTATCATTATTTCTTTCATACCCCACTCACCCGCTACATTGCAACACCCCCACCTCGACCCACATACCCACATGTCACCCTTTGTCACTTTACCTTAGCTCGAAACCCATCCTTACCCGATCCAACTTGGCACACCCCACACCTATATCCAGAACCATATCCACATCTACATACATACGTCCTCGTCAATGCCCACAATCCTATGCCTATAATGACCTAGATATTGACGCCCACCCCACCCCACCCTACATCTACACCCACAACCGCACACCTACCCATCCACTTCACCTCCACATACACATCCTTACCCAATCTATACAAATTGCCCCACCTCACACCCACACTCACACCTATATCAACACCTAGAAGCCTATGTCGATGCTTACTCCATTATACACCTAAACGTGCACCAACACCCATGCACCTATCCACTTACCTACCAGTAAATCCACTCACCCCACCTTCTACTCCCATACCAGCTCATTTCCACGCCTAATCTACATGACATGACCATGCACACCTACCCATACACCTACACTCATCTACCCACTCAGCCACACATACACTTGTAACATCCCGACTTCCAGGTATTAATTTGAAGCTTTTATATTCACATTTTTCGACCCACTCGACAAGTTGGCTGCCCTAACTCGTCGTGTAGAAACTGATCAGGCCGCTTGGTTTATGGAACCAACTCGACGAGTTGGACGGCCCAACTCGACGAGTTGAGGATGTGCATGAAAATCATATTTTTTAGGGTTTTCACCCTATTTGAAGGAACGTAAGTCCTCCTTCTAGCCTCCCTTACCACCTTCACATCCGGAAACAAACCCTAATTGAGCTAACCTCTTATTTTGAGTGTGCGTGAGGCTAAAGAGTATGTGTTTAGTGCATTTATTGAAGTGACTTGAAGATTTAGAAGCTTGGAACGAGAAGGAGCTTGTAAATCCAACATCTACTTCGTTTTGGCGTTCATTTAAAGGTACAAAGTCATTCCCTTGATCATTTTCTTGTTAGATCTCTCCACTTAAGAGTTTAGGGTCATTTATAGCCTACTCTTAAAGCATTTATGGTATTGAGTGCGTTTTGAAATGAGAAGTTCAGATCTGGACTCCTCTAGGCCCTTATGGGCATAATAAAGTTCCCGACTTTAGCAAGCTTTGGCCCTTCTTCATGCCCTAAAACTCTTCCTAAGACTAGTTTGGGTGTTTTAGTCTCTTGAAGCCTTGCATGCACATAAAGTTGGCAACTTTACATGATAACTACACCTTAGGAGGATAAATCTACAGTTTGGAGCCTTGGTTTCGCTTAAAAGCATCTGAATGAGAAAAAGGCTGAAGGAACTCGACGAGTTGCATAAGCCAACTCGACGAGTTGGGTAAGGTTTACCCGCCTTCTAGATTATGAGTGAACTCGGTGAGTTGATGTGGGTTTTCTCGATCTTCTAGACACAGAAGAACTCGACGAGTTACTCAGGTAACTTGGCGAGTCGACTCGAGTTTCGTTTTTGAAGTTCTGAAGAAACTCGACGAGTTACTCAGGTAACTCGGCGAGTTGGCCCTAGTTTTCGGTTCCGAGTTCTGAAGGAACTCGATGAGCCAGTGGATGAACTCGATGAGTTGGGTCAATATGGACTATCGACCTTGACCGTTGACTTTAACTTTGACCAATGGTTGATCAAGTTTGACTTCTAATGGTATTTTGGTAATTTGAGATTTTAATGGAATAAGTTATATGATGGTTACAGGCAGTTGAGTTTGGAGACGAGAGTTGGAGTTTGATCTTCTTGATTTTAGCACTACTTGTGAGGTGAGTTGTCCTCAGTATACTAATAGGGTTTAAGGCACTAATGTTGGCCCTTGTGGATTGTTATCCTGGTTATTACATGATGATACGATTAGTGACCTGTTAGGTTGATATCCTGGTATATAAGATGATGCTATATTAGTGACCTGTTAGGTCGGTATCCTGTTATATAGGATGATACTATGATTACTGATTTGTAGATCGGTTTGACTGTTTGTGCATGCTAGTTAGCATATGCTATTTATGTGTTGATTGTATATGTGTGGTTGGGTTGAGACAGTCCTACTTCGTGCTCTAAGCTAATAGACCCAGGGAGGACCAGATAGACTGCAGACCCGTTAGGGCGTATCAGTCAGGCCGAAGGCCCAAATAACAGCCCAGATAGGTTGAAGGCCTGGGAAGGCGAACCAGACATGATGAAGGTTCTGAGAGTGGGCCAGACATACTGAAGGCTCGGTGGGTTGGGCCCATATATTAGAGTTATTTATGTTTATTAACTAAGTGAGGGCTGGGCGCGTATCTTAGACTTGTTTATGATTAGTAGCTAAGTGTGGGCAGGGCCCGTATCTTAGTATTATCTAAGTATGTTTATGAACTGGTAGATTATGTTTATACTTGTTGTCTGCGTGATCTTGTATGTATGTTTAGTTAGCGGAGTGTGGGTAGGGGCCCATATCTCCCAGATAGCAGAGCGTAGACGAGGGTCGTACCTCCTAGCCAGCTGAGTGTGGGCGAGGCTTGTATCTCCTAGTTAGCAGAGTGTGGGCGAGGCCCGTATCTCTGAGATAGATGAGTGTGGGCGAGGCGCGTATCTCATAGTAATCAAGTATGGGCGGGGGCCAGTATCTCCTTGAGTGTGAGCGAGGCTCATATCCCCTAGCTGCATATTATATGTTATGTGTATTGTATGGGCTAGTTTGGGAGACTCACTAAGCTTTGTTCTTACAATTTTCATTTTTGGTTTCACGTACTTCCAATAACAAAGGGAAGAGCTCGGGATGATTGTAGTGCACACACCATTCGTTCAGCCTGGGACGTTTAGACTATGGTATTTTGATACATGTTTTTGATACAGTGTTTCATTATGATGAATTGAGATACACGATTTATGATCTTTATTATGATGTTTGATGAAATATGGTTTTCTTAAATGAGTTTTAAAACAAAATTTTTGGACCGTATTTTTGGGATGTTTCGGTTTTTATCTCAATTTTATATTTGAAAGCTTCAACCAAGATGTCATAATTATGCATTACCATATAAAATATAATCATAAATACTATAGTTGTTAACAAAGTTGATTCATATCTTGCATTAAATCTTGGATTCATTTGAAAGGAAGTCATACATCACAATTTAAGGTTCTTTACTAATTATTTTCTCTACCACTTAGTTAAAATATCTTTAGAAATCTTTTATATATAAATAGGTTTCACATATGTCCAATAAATTGCATTATTTTCCTTCAAAAATCCCTTTCTTGAAGTTGAGATATGTGAATGTCATTTATAAAATAAAAATAACAATGTCAAAGATAAGTTTGATTCAAAACAAATTTAAGTCAATAGTACTTTGCATATATAACTCATTATTTATAGAACATTGATATTTAGTCTATGATTCTCATTAAGATATGTAATCTCAGAAAAAGAATTTCAATCATTTTCGAATATGAAGGTGATTGTTGTGAAAAACGATTTAAGTAAATAGTCAATCATTCATAAATTAAAATAACTGAGACATATATTTAGAAAAGATAAATTAAAACATACATTGTTCGAAAACAAAGATTGTTACACAATACGAGTACATTATGTTCCTAACATACTTAATAATCTAACTCCGAGAGTGTAGTTCCAACTTGATTGTGCTCTGCTGGTTACTCGTTTGTAAATATATGCAATCCATTTGCAAATGTTTGATTAACATGTAAGTACCAAGTATTTGATTGTTGTGTGAGAAGTAAGAGTTCTATCTAGTAGATACTTGAAGTATTAGTTTCTTCCAGACTTCTATTCCAGATAAAAGGAGCAATTCCTCTTCCAGTGTCGGGTTTCTCCACAAAACAAACAAGATCCATCTATGTGGACCTTATTAGATTTCTTGGGCTTAAAGGTGTTCAGTCTGTAAAATATGGGCCTCTTAGATAACACAAAGTGATTCTTTTAGCCTTGTAGCATTCAATTGTTTGAATTAGTTTAAAAAAATATCACTGTATTTTTTGGAATATTGCTTAACCTGTTATATCAACAGATATATATATATATATATATATATATATATATATATATATATATATAT